TGAACCTTATATCTTGATGATAGCACATTCATGTGTACACAACAACAATATAAGAAAAAAAGAAAAATGGAACTAAAAGAGAGGAAAATGTTATTTAGTGATCTTGTTTTGGTTTTGTCAAATAGTTTTTAGATCAGCTTCCGTATAACAAGGAACTGATGAGTTTAAGTTTAGTTTGAAGTAGACAAACCAGCCGGTTAGAAAACAAAAATATCAAAGGGACTTGCATACACACACTTGTGGTTACAAAATGCTAAAAAAACTTGAAATCCAAAAATAGAAGAAACCCTTCCAAATATCACCAACAAATTTTTTGGTAATTTGAGATGATTAATGCAAAGATTTATATTTTCTTTTCGAATTTAGAAATGGTAAGCATTTTAAAATAAAATAAGATAGGCAAATCCATATTTAAAATGAAACTAAAGATGAATAACCACTGGATAATACGATAGTTAATACTTTGTGTGCAAACTTTCTCTCAGTAATTTAAAATTTGGACATACACTTGTTCATACAAACAGACTTGAAAGCATTATAAGATAAAACAAGGATAAACTCATAATTAAACGAGAACGAATCCGAAGATAGGCATGGATGCGTCGCTATAACAATTGTAGAAAAGCCGAAAATGAGTAGCTTGGTCCTCTTGAATTGTGACGTTAAAAAACATACTCTTTTGTTTTTTGGGCAAACCACTTGATTCATTCGATTAAATAAAATCCTTACACAAAGGGAAGTCTAAGCACAGCGAGAAACATAAAAAACCTTTTGCATCTCGAATCTCGGACTTTGAAGCTGCAATAATGGCGGCTTTAAGAGCAAGGCCTTCAACAACCGATGCCGAAGAGGCCAATCGGTGCGAAGTGGAACCGTGATGCAGAGTGATAATACTCTTGCTTGGTAATATCCACTCAACTCCACAATCCAAAGATGCTACATTCCAAGTTGCATCCATGAAGTAAATGGTGGCGCTGAGCACACGTCGATGAAGATGAGTCATGCATAATGCAGTAAGAGGACAAGGCGACCTGCATAATGCAATAAGTAAACAAGACCTGCATAATGCAGTAAGTGAATGTGACCTGCATAATGCAGTAAGTGAAAATGAATGTGACCTGCATACTGCAGTAACGTTAACGCGTCGCACACATGCGATAATTTTGCCAACAAAGGGCACAATGGAAGCAACAAAAGAGCTCGATATACTCAGATCTAAATAAGGCACAGCTCGAACTAACAAGATCATCACTTCCTCCCACTCAATCAACATCCCAAATCTTTCCAAACAAGGAGAAGTAGTAGATGAGGAGGGGAAGCATACCTTGTTTACAGCAAGGCCCATGAAGGATGTTCCTCCGGAGAGAGCAAAATCAGAAGTCTCGTCAACAGACATAGATTCATCAGGTGGATCTGGAGGCTCCGGTGGATGACGAACTTCCTGCATCGCCGCATCTACCCGAAGCGAGGAAGACGACCTTCGATCTGGTGGTTTTCGCGGAGGTGAGACCAAAGCGAAAGACATCGTTTTCACCAGAGATAAACATACTCTATTTTCGAATTTCGTCGAGGCAAAATCATTTGCATCTTCTGGTTTCGTAGAGACCGTTACACAAATATACAAATTGGTTAGAGATATATGAAACATTTCCGTGATAG